ATAGATAGATAGATAGATAGATAGATAGATAGATAGATAGATAAACATTTCTGGCAGCATTGAGAGCATGGTTTAACGACCACGGAGAAGATGATGGCTCCACATCACTCATGATTGAAAGTTGTGGGAAGCCGGTGTCTGAAGAGAGTCGGGGAGGGACATTAACCTGCGTGGAAAAGCCAGAAGTACGAGTATAATATTATCATCCAACTACCTGATGACTGGTACGATCAGCAAGCCAACCCTTTCGTGGATCCTGGAGAGAAGGGAGGAGCAGCTATGGCATTGTACGCCTGCAGTGATTCCTATTCTCCACCCGAGTAACCAAGTAATAGATACATGTAGATAGATGGATAGATAGATAGATAGATAAATAGATAGATAGATCGATAGAAAGATAGATAGATCGATAAATAGATAAATAAAGAGATAGAGATAGATAGAGATAGATAGATAGATAGATAGATAGATAGATAGATAGATAGATAGATAGATAGATAAAGAGAGAGAGAGAGAGAGCTAGAGAGCTAGAGAGCTGGAAAGGCTGGAGAGGAAAAATAAGATAGATAGATAGATAGATAGATAGATAGATAGATAGATAGACAGACAGATAGATAGATAGATAGATAGATAGATAGATAGATAAAGAGATAAAGCCTTACTTATCAAAAGAGTTATCTATGCCATACCCTCACATTTTGTTTCCGCAATTCTCACCTGTTATCGCTTATCACTAAACCAAAAGTGACATATCAACCGTTCAAATATTGCGGCTCTACAAGAAAAGAAAATGGCAACCTTTTGGAAAAAAAAACCCACAGCCTTACTTAGGTGCTGTGAACATCCCAAAGGCTTTAACCTGTTATTGTAGGGTAGAATCAATAGAGGTGGAGCATCTCTAGTGGCATGGCTAGAGTCTGACGCTCTCCGTTTATAAATAATAAGTCATTGATTCCACTGTCACGATAGCGGGCTCTCAAAACAAGCTTCTCTTGTGGTGTAGTTCCGCGCTATTTTGCGGCGCCTCCTTGCTTTCTCCAGAGTTAAGCGTCTTTGTTTGTGCGTGCGCACCACAGCGTGCTATTCATTATACGAAACCGCAGTTGGGATTTTTTCCGGTGCATGTTTTATATCATAATATTCACGGAATCCATCGGAGTATATCGTTTATTGTGTCTGCAAACAGAGCTATAGAGTCGGCGGTAAGTAAAACAATACATTAGCAGTGTTTTGTCAGCAGCTGCTGTGAACGTGTTTGTTTAGCATTGTTACCCCTCTCCCCCAAACCACACACACACATACACACACACA